CTGCATGTCTTTGTTTCATCTCTTTCTATTATTAAAGTGCAAAGCTATGGATAACCTCAACTTTTCACTGTTTTCAGTTTTCTTTTAGTTCATTTGGTTTTCTGATATTAAACAATGTAGGTCAGGGGCTTTCTGCTTTGCAGTTGTGCTGTGCAGGCTCTAAAGTTGTGCTGGTACAAGCCCATGTCAGCCCCGCAGAGATCGCGCCAGCGTTCTAAGCACAAGGGTTTTTTTCTACACTCACACAGTTATGGTTGGTGTAGAACATGCACTATAGAGAACTAACCAAGTAAGACTTGGAGAGTATGTCACTACGTAACCTTTTTTAAACCGCTGATTTCATATAACATCCTGGAATCTCAGTAGTGTGCAAGTTTCTAAAATACTTAGTGATCTGGGTTTTTTTAAGTGACTTAGTCAAATCTCTCCCTGTTCGCTTCCAGGTGATTGGGATAGTTATAATCCATCTTCGTCAACTGTAATATATGAAGAACAGTCACCACTATCTTCATCTTCACATTCTTCTCCCCCATCTGAAGTGTGTTATTTATCAGTACCAGGAGAAGCTTTAACGAGAGTTCAGCCATCTGAGAAACTGGAACAAGCAACGAACACTGTGCCTGAAAAGAAAAGCACTTTAGCTGAGAACCAGTCTGAGATGAAGCCTCAGTCTTCTCCCCAGAGAACAAAGAACAGATGGGAATGTCCCTCCAGGCCTGGGTTTGAAATAACAAAAGGTGGTTTGGAATTGGGGACCAGAAGAGACAGATCTGCAAGTCCGGAAAAGGTAGTGGCTGCTGAGGGACGCCTTCACACAGGAATCCACAGCCCCAGAAAAGGGGATCCTGAAAAACCCTGCGGCAATCTCTCACATAAATCGGACGGTTCCAGAAAAAGTGAGAGTAAACCCACAGAAACAGGGATGAACAATAGCAACAGGACAGAGTATTCCAGTGGAAATCAAGGAAGGTCTGCCAGTCCCCAAATGCATCTCGGCAAGCAAAGCAACGTGGAAACGGCAGGCAGGTCACAAGAATATCAGGACAGAACAGCTGGTGGTGATAAGACGGCTGTTGAGCAATTGAAAGGTGGAAATGGTAAAACAGGGGTCACCAGGAAAGACACAAAGCAGAAAACTTCTGGAAAGACGGAAGCGTGGTCTTCAGAGTGGCAACATGTGGCATTTGTTGAGAATAATCTCCCATTCAGTGACTCTAGGAGAAATGCCGCTGAAGATTTAAAAGTAAAGAAGTCAAACTCCGGAGAGCCAAGTTGCAGCAGATTCAAAGCCTCCAGTCTTTCCAATATTCCGCTGCTTTCCATGGAGAAACAGAGGTGGCTGGAAACGCAGGACACTGTCACGCTGAACAGACAACGCGGAGAGAGACGCGTGGAGCTGCCCGATGAAACCAAAGATGATGGAATTTCCAAATCTGAGAGTAGCTCTCCAGTCAAGAAAACGCCGATAACTCCTGGACCTTGGAGGGTACCAAGTGCGTGTAAAGTCACCCAAACAGCAGGTGTGGCTGAGAAACGGGTTTGACTGACATTCTTTTTTTAGAACATGTTTTAATCAAGTTTCTAATAATGGTCATTTGAAAGCATAATTTCTTTTCACAAAGTTGTCATTTGTTTTCAGAAACTGGTTAGAGGGTGGAGAGTATTTGATTCGTTCTTAAATTATCTAAGCTGCATGAAGGACCTTTTGGATTGCTTAAATGAAACTCCTCATAAGCTGCTGCCCCCTTGTCCCTTTGACGGCGGTGTTCTGCTGCTCTCGACGTTGCACTGCTACGGCTTTCTCAGATAGTATTGTGAGTTCCTGAACAAAATTATTTAATGCCTATATTGCCAATGTGATCATGACTCACTTCTTGCTCTTGTGCCAAGTTATCTACTGTATCCTGTCGATCTAATCTTCTCTCATGTACTCCAGTCCTAGAAAAGGCGAGGTTTTGTCCGAAAGGGGGATTCTTCTCCAGAGCGTGTTGCATGTTTGCGCAGGGCAAGACACCTGTTCTTGCTGGCACAGTAAGGAGATGGGGGAGTTGGTTCTATCAATTCCAGGGCAGCAAACGAGCCACTGATGCTGTTCAACTGATGTTTTTTCTTGAATTTTTATACCTAATACAAAATCCTGTAGATAAAAGTTATATTTGACATAATGTTTTGTAATTTTGCTTTTTATGAACACAGCAAAATCGCTTACTTCTCTTGATTCATAAGGATGCTCGTAACTGTTTGCAGGCATCTGAAAAGAAAAAATTCTGGGTTCTGTTAAATAACATAATTCCTTTGGTTTCCCTCGTGGCACTCTGTGGTCCGTAGCTTCTCTATAGACAGAAGCAATGAGTGCACGTTTTATCTTCAGCATCATCATGTTGCCTGTGTACTGGAGTCCCATCTTTATTTAATGCTAGTTAGGAACTGCATTTTTCCCTCTGTAGAGGTCACCATTGACCTGTAGGACAGAACCAGCTTCTTAACTGAAGTTCTTGCCTGTGTCTATTAGAAGTGTGACTTGACTTTGAATGTGTGATGTGTCCCAAGTGCTCAGTAGGGTGATACAGAGTACGAGAGGCTCCGTGTCCTGTGTCTGGGCTAGAACACGGGTTTTAAAAAGAGGAACGTTACTGCCAGGATCTACTGACACACCGGTCCTGCGGCTGTAACAGCAGACTGCAGAAATTGAAAGTTTTTGTTTTATTCATAGTTTTACTGATGATTTCCTGACACGTTAAGTTGTTAATGACCACGGAGCCCATTGGTCCAGTTTGCAGAATGAGAAGGAAGGGTAAAGGTCAAGCTTTACTTACTTATGTTAAAATTCAACCTAATGCGATTTGCTCGTTAAAGGGAATGAGTGACTATCTCATTTTGGCTTTAAACATTTAATGTTTTTAAAGCTTGATGAAGCACAGTGACTCAGTTCCGAGTTGAATTCTTTAGAAGTACAGATGACTACTCCAGCAGCTTTTTAAACAAAGCCTTTGACAATTAAATAGGCTTTAAAGCAGATCTGAACTGCGTGACGTGGGAGGAGCCGTTGAGATTTGCTGTGTAGCATAATACGTACAAATACTCCATGTTGTGGAGTATGACTGTGAAAATATTTAATACTTTGAAGTAGCCTATGTAGATATTACCCACGTATTGTTAACGAGAGGTTCTGTTTTACGTTGCGTTGTATGCACTTGCCCTAACCACTGAGTACGGTAACGAAGCCAGACGTTTAGTACAACTAAGAATTAGCACCACTGAAATTATTTCAGCATCAACTACCCCCGTATTTTTTCTCTATGTTAATGTGACCTGATTTGGTGTCTTCCCTGCGTGTGATTTCTCCTTCCCTAGAACTTGTATCTGTACTTACTGTATCAGATGACTTAGCAATGTGGCCTTGGAATGCCAAGCGATGTATGGATGTACTGGGTGTAAATGTTTATATATTGTACAGCACCTTTATACATACTTCCGAGGTTCTGACTAGAGACCTGTAAATCGCTCATTATTTTTTATATAGATATTAAAAAGAAACTCCAGTTCATGGCCTGTTGGTTCTGCCCTGTGTAAAACAGACTCTGTTGACTTCCTGTAGTGTGATACCTCAGAGAGCTGCTCCTATCACCCAGGTTTCACCCACAAACATAACAGTCTTCTGGAAAAACAAATGCAATTTATTGTTGGAAGTTTCCTTGACTCCCTGTTCAAATAACAAATGTTCAACAAAGGTATTATAAAATTCATAAAGTCATGTAGAAACAGTCGTTAATGACGAAATACTTGTACTGTAGGTTTATTTGCACATTTTGATATATAAAACTGTCATCTCCTTTTACATCTTACAACTTTTCCTTGTACAGAAAATAGCTGTCAACAATTCACTACCAAAAGTTCTTACGCCACCTTACCCCGTACGTGAAAGAATGAAGCGATGAAAAGTTCCTCACATTTTGCTTTTCTCATTACTAATAAATAGAAGATAGTGGAGTCGGTTAAGGAAAATGCAAGTTCAACAGATTTCTAGCACGTTTTGCTTCTCCCCTAGGCCCGTTCTAAACATTAATCTACTTTTGGGTGAGGAGGCCTTTGCCACAACTCTTCCACTGAACTGGTTCTCACAGCGGATTTCCTCTTGGGGTGCCGCTTGCCTGCTGGCCAGGCCAGGGTTCCCCACGGCAGAGCCGGGCTCTGCGTGGCCGCGGTGGCACAGGGAGCGGTCGCCACAGGCGTTACTTGTTGCTCACGTCGTTCGGGTGTTCTCATGGGACTCATGTTTTTCCAAACGTGCTCATCACCTGTGTGTGCAAGACCCACCAGAAGCCAACCAGCAGGAGGCTCTTTGGTTGCTGAAGCGTCAGCACGGAGACAGAGCTCGTCACACAGAACGTCACCACGTCCCGCAGTAGTTCAGGAGAAAAAGAGGCAAAGCCTCATGTACGCTGAGCTTTTAGGAGAAGAAACACTTCAGCGCTTTTGGATAAATGCACTGAAGTACTATGGGCTGAGCAGAGCTCTGAAGAATGCACAAACGGAACATTTCAGTGCAGGGCCAGTGCTGAGAAAGCGTAACAGTAACTGAACACGAGGGCTGGCTCGTCACCTGGCACAGGCACAGGGTTCATGTTCCACAGAAAGGAGCCCACGTATCCCCCTCCAGCCAGGCAGAGCCCCCGCCTGGCTCTTGGCGCCGCTGCCCCCCAGGTGCACGTGGCCCTATGGGTCGTGGTGCCAACCACTGGTGCTTGGCCCCGTTAATTCTGTTTTGCTGCCTGTGCAGGACCACACCAATGAGGCCGTTTTGTTCTGTGTGTTGTAGAAGAGCAAAGGCGAGCGAGATCTCTTGCTAAGTACACTGAGAAGCTGTTCAAGAAAGCATCGTTACAGGTTTCAGTAGTTTGAAAGCACCTCTGCTTTTCTTTTTGCCCAAGCAACTGGTTATGTTCTCCCATCTGTCTTCCTGGTGGAGAGGGCAGGCTGAGTCCTGACATTTGGCCAGTTCAGGGTTTAATTTTCCATAACTGAAAAGAGATACCAAGAGTGAGCAGTGGTCTGAAATGCTTTTCGCCTAGAGGTAAGGCTTGGTCTCCTTTGCCCATCCTGCCTCGAGGGCTCTGCTCGGCGAGCTCCAGGGTTAAGTGGGAGCCAGAGGAGGACTGTGTCCAGGATTCTGACCAAGAGCTTTCAGTGGGCTTAAGTCAGCCCCATCCCCTCCCCAAACCTGGCTCATTCCGCGCGGTCTGTTCCCTGAATTATGTGTAGAGGGAGCCCAGTTCACACCTGAGACCTTGCTGCTTGGTGGGGAGGGATTTGGCAATGGCACGGTGACTCCCCGAGGTGTTTCCTGTCCGGCTGTAGGGAAGTTGTACTTACTCTGATGTTGAATCCTAGAAGATCACTGATAACACCTGAGACAGCAGAGAGAATGACAACGCGTGTGATGTTGTAGATTAATGGATTCATGGTCAGTCCGTACAGCCTGAATGGAGTATCTAACTCCTGCAGGGAAAGGAAAGAAGAAGAAGTCCGTTAGCACTCAGCCATGCCAGAAGCAAGTAATCCTCTGACTCCTGGCCTAACAGGGGTGCTCTGGCAGGCTCTGCCAGCCCTGCGCTGCTGCTGCTGCTGCTGCTGGAGCCGTAGACGTTTTCCAACAGCCACGCTGCATCTGAGCACTCTCCTTTGTAGCAACACTGGCTGCACAACACAGGCTTGACACCAGGGTCTAGAATTCGTCTAGACTAATTTACGTCACTCTTAGACTAAGGTCTTGCTTTTCCAAATGCCTACTCTGCCGCTTGTCAACAGCTGTTGAAGGAAAGTGAGTTTCACGCAGTAAGGACACGTGCTGTGTTCGTAGGGGCCCCTCCCGTCCGTAAACCGCAGCCAGCTGCTGCTAAGCAAATGTTTGCAGCACTAATGAACCACCCCGGCCTGGCAGTGCCCGCTTCTCTGCCATGGCTGTAGGAGCACAGAAAAACTCCCTCTGCGAGAACTGAAGTCCCTCATCAAGGGACAAGGGACATGGGAAGAGCAAAACAGAGTCACTGCAATTGGGCATCGCTCCCATCACCCTGAGCACCTGCGGGCTCTCAGGACTCACCTTCAGTAGCTTTGTCGATAGTTTCAAAACATTGTTTACTAGGGAGAGCTGTTCTTTCTTGTTTGGCTTCTTCTCCATCTTTAGGTATAAGTTTATCTGTGACAGAGACATTACAGATTAGATGCGAATATTCCAGCAGTAGCCCCCAACTAACTTCTAACTAGGTGAAATTAGAGCTGTATTTTGCAGCCTCCTGCCACTCCGAAAGACACGGTGCACCCAGACAGGAATTCAGCAGTGATAATGGCCTTCTTTTTCCCATCGGCGTGGCTAACACATATTAACAAAGAGACAAAAATAATCTACAATTCAGAATTTGAGTCTGTCCAAATGTTTTAACAGCTTGTCCCTCCCCAGCTGTAGTGTTGTATTGCCTTCTGTCCAGCACATTTTAAAATTTTATTCCAGTATTTTTAAGCAGGTTTGAAATACAATAGTTTTATCCAAACAAGCCACAAAGCCAGAGAGAATAAGCTAAATGGAGATACCTGCTCAGTGAGCAAGATTGAAATATTACTGTATTTCTTGTTGGTTTCGGAGCCCAAAGATGCCAGACGCAGTAAAAAGAGAAGAAGTGCTGCCTCCCAGATTAGGAACTCCCAGTTGTAAGCTGCATTCAGAAATGTTTTGTGACCCTTAAGAACCTGTGTTGAAAAAAAATCACCAGTAACAAGTAACATGCCTGTTCTTGGGAAAAGTGCCGCAGCGTTGCCCACACCGCGCTCTGCAGCCACGGCCTGCCTTTCCCCTGACGTGTAATTCAGTCACGGCACTAGGTTAAAGTAAAAGCTCTTGTTTCTCACTTGGCTTTAGCTTGGAACATGAATTTTCTTTCTGCTTAGGAGAGGATGCTTGTTCTTTCCCCTCCCTCCCTCTTTCCAACTAACAAGCACGACACCACCTTTCCTTTCATGCCTGCTGCCCCTACTTCCTTTGTAAAACAATAAATAAATAAAAACCTCACCTGGGCACAGCATATAAAAGCAATTGAAAGAGCCAATAAAAAAATGGACGACACGACAACGTCCACGGATCGCTGGGGGCCTCGCCTCTGCAGAAAGACAGACCCGGAGTCAGGGCCGGCCGAGGCACCAGAGAGCAGCCTGGGGCAGGACACGGACCTAGAGACCCGGTTACACCTGCTGCGCTCATCAAACCTCGGACCACAACTCACCTTTAGATAGGAACGAAGGGATAACCAGATCTTAATGTTTTCTACCTTCTTGAGTCTGAAGTGAGGAATCTCGTATTTCCTGGCTTTCCGAGCAGATGTAATGTGACTGAAAAGCTTGGCAAACAAAAACCTCTGCAAATTAAAAACAAAACCACACAAACATGAATTAACCTAAACCAAAAAAGACAGTTTGGGATGCTCAGTGGTAACTGGCAGAAAAGGCAGAGGCACGCCGAGAAGGGGAAGCCTAACGGGACCCCCGGTGCACGACCTCTCGGTAAGT